GAGCGATGCTCACGGAGAGCATCTGAGAGCCAGGGTGCAGGAGGACTGGCACAGGCTGGCCTGGATGCAAGAGGACATAATCGGTCTAGACATGATGCTAGTGTGGAGCAGAGTGTATTAGTGGCACTGTTCGAATCAAGTGCAGTGAGTTTGCGAGATGGAGGAAGAGAGTCTGAAACAATGGTGGATAGTCTATTGGGTGAGAGAGATCGTAGGTTTCTGCGAAAGGTAACCAGTGTAGGAGTGTGTGGCGGCTCAGGAGTAATGTGGATGTTGAGAGACAGAAGGAAATGATCAGATATTTGTAGTGGAGTTACTATTGTTTGATCAGTGAAGCAGTGTCGTGTGTAAATAAGGTCTAGCTGATTACCTGATTTGTGGGTAGCAGAAGTAGGTGCTCTTTTTAGGTCAGATCGGTTAGGTTAGAATCAGATCGCTGTATGCAAATACACCAGCTAGACAGTGGCCTATTGCTCACTGATGTTCATTGGCTGAGGCTGCTATGACAATCGCTTCAGCCCCAACTTCATTCAAGTCTTCAGTCAAGCGTTGACACTGAAGCCCCGTGTGAATGAGGCATTAGAGTGTTTGAGCTGCTGAAGATAACGTCAGCATAGACAAAGAGGATTATAGATGTGGAGTTTTAGAAGAACAGCGACAAGAGCCACATAGACTGACACACACACTCACACTGAAGTACACATGACTAAAACTGACATCTGTAGCTCCGCCCTTTTTTGAAATCTAATTTGCATTTAAAGCGACAGTCACCAAATTAGTATAAAAGCCTGAAAGGGTCAGTTTCAGAGAGCTGGAGAACATTATCTGCGTGCTGTTCTCACACTCTCACACACACACACACACACGGGAGACACAGCAGAGACTCATACAGCTTGTAGAAAGGGGCATAACAGATTAACATGGTGTGACAGGTGTGATTGCTGACCTGTGCATTGGGGGGCCGGTTAGCCGGTGGTCTGCCTCGTGGTGTTAGTGTATATGTATGAGTATGTGTGTGTGTGCGTGGTGCTGGTCTCAGAGCTCCAGCTGGTTTAGGGGTGGACATCGGCTCGGGATCGCTCTCCTCCGCACTCCTCTCCCACAGGCGGGTGACTCTGGCTGCGGGTGCAGGCCTGCCCTCTGGGTCTGGGTCTGTTACACAACACACAGGACATTCACTCAATCATGTTTGGACAGAAGTGTGTGTAGTGTAGTGTGTGCACAGTCATGCTGGAGTGATGGAAACTCAACTAGTCTATTCTAAAAACATTCCCTGATGTTAAAATAGATGCAATGATGCTGATTTCTGATGTCTAATAACTGATTTATTTCCTCTTCTCCATGATGACAGCACATAATATTAGACTAGATATTCTTCAAGACACTAGTGTTCAGCTTAAAGTCACATTTAAAGGCTTCACTAGGGTAATGAGGGTAAAGATAGGGTAATTAGGTAAGTCATTGTACCACACACACTGAGGAATGATGTATTACACAAACGTTTAGCAGAACAGCCCTCATGTCCATGTTTTTGCCAGTTTTTCTAGACAGCTGGAGCTCTGGTAGCCCTATATTAGTGTGTGTTGAGCCTTACGCAGGGTCTGGAGGCTCCTGACGCTCTGGCTGTGGTCTGCGGAGCGGATCAGCAGGATCTTGTGTTTAAAGCAGGTGCAGCTGAACATGCACTCAACACGCCTGCAGTGTGTGGATCCTGCAGACTCTCTGCTCAGACTGTCACACACACAGCCCAGCCGACAGAAGAGCTTCGCACATGCACCGTCATCAGCAATGTGTGTGCTCCACTGCGGAGTCTCCACCAATACACTCTGGGGACACAAACACACACACACACACAAACACGAGAGCAACACATCAGATCATCACATTCTGAATACACAGGTGTTATTCTTCACACTACAGCTCTGCTGAACGCTGGACTCTGATTGGCTGCTTGTCACTCTCAGGTGTTTGGGTAATGTCATAAAAAAGGCACAGTTAAAGTAGTTCTGGCAGGTTTAGAGTGCATTACAGCTCCATATCACTCCGCTGAATGATTAGAGTTATTACACAGCTACAACAGTCAGAAATCTCCTCCAAAGCCTTCTGTTGTGTTCTGATGTGATTTAACTGTGTCTTCACCTGACAATGACCAAACACCTGAGAGTGAGCAGCAGCCAATCAGAAACAGAAATCAGAGTGTGCGTGTACCTGAGCGGTCAGCAGTGCGCTGAGGCTGACTCTGGCTCTCTCTGTGCTGATGAAGGTGTGTATTTGTCCGTGTGTGAGGGCCTGTTCCTCCAGCGTCCGGAGCTGTGTGTGTTTTTCAGTGCAGGAGGGCTGCGCTCCGTCCACTGCGTCTCTGTTAAAGCTGATGTGGGGTCGGCGTCTCTTCCTGCCGCGCCTGGAGCGCACTCTACCGACCCCTGCGCTGTATACTGCGGGCTGTGGCAGTGCTACGGGACGGGACACCACTCTCACAGGGGAGATCCGCATCCGTTTAGCGACCCGTCTGCTGGGCTGCTGCGGTGCTGTTGCTGCTGCTGATGGTGAAGTGCGCATCTGAAGCACACTATCTAGTGTACGCACATAACTGCTGCTCCTAACAGGCAGCTGATAGACCACCGGAGACGGATCGCTGCTGGAAAACACCTCCGCACGCTCGCTGATCCGCTGCCCTTCACTCTCCAGATACTCATCCAGCATCTCTGAGCAAAACGCTGAGCCTGATGGGAAAACACAGAGCAGATCAGAGAAACTGAAGCACTACAGCTGCAGGACCACTGCTCATCTTCTTTACACTGCTGCTCTCATTCATGCTGCGTTCACACCAGATGCGGAACGCGTGGATAAATCGCGATATTCGCGCATAAATAGCCGCGTGAACATTTGAGGCTACTCGCTTCATTCACGCGTCAGATTCACTTCAGAACAGACGAGGATTCGCGTGATGGGCAGGGCTTCTGTCTGCCTGGTGACTCTAGCTTCATAGCTAAATGGCTAACATGGATTTTATGAAGAAAATAACAGTGTTTATGTGCTTTATGAAGGCTGAAAAACAGCGTCAATACGTTTAGGGTCGTGTCTGAGTCCACTACATCCTTTCAGAGGTGCAGTAGCTCTGTGAGCTCATAAACTCCTCCAGAAACTGAACCTGGATGACGGAGGCTTTCAGCGGTGCTTCTGACTGAGCCGAGCCCGAGTCGGTGTCAGCTGGAGGATTTCCCCTGGGACACCGACAACAGGCGACACATCACAATCACGCCACCACAGGACCAAGCTCCTGATTGGTTAACGCGGCGCGAATGTCCGCTAAAGTTCAGATTTTTGAACTCGAGTGATTCGCGCGGAATGCTCAATTCAAGTCACGGCATTCGTGCGTATCGCGCTGCAGG